TGTACAGTTTCTCTTAACCTATAAACTATGGAAACAATTGTCTTCCTCACATCCACCCAACATACTATGGTAGAACTGGCATAGGATGACCACTAAAGACAGTCTCATTAAAAAAATTAGTAGACATAAGGCACGCTGCAATCACCAGTGCGTAAGAATTTTGAAATCCAAATAGGCATTATTATTTTTTTTTTTTTTGCCGGGTCTTTGACTGGTTCTCAGGACGACTGCTTGAGAATGATTCTCAGAGGCTCTTAGCTGTGTTTTCTGAGGCATTCTTCCATTTCCTGAAGAAATAGCTGGCAGTGTTTTCCTTTGTATATGAGACAATATAAAGGAATATAATATTTATCTTGTAAATGTTACAGATTTTCTATTGATTTATTGAGGTTAACTCCACTAGATAAAAGCTACCAACCATAAATATTATTGAAATAAGTTCTTACCTACCTTAGACTTATTGTAAGTCTGCATGGGAACAATGCCCTTAAGATTTTTAGAAATCCCACATTTAAATAAAGAGGGTCTTTGAGACATATCCTCAAGACCTTTGAATGGGCTTTTGTATGTTTGAGACACCACCTTAAGTCTTTTTGAGATCTCAACAAAAGGTTTTAAAGTCATATGCTTGATTTTATCTGTAGCTCGTGGTTTCCAGACAGAATCCAAGACTTGATCTCTACACCAAAGCCATTTATTAATTTTAGCATAATTTACCATCTGGAAAACCTGGGAATGAAAAAGTGTTATTATCAAACCCAGAAAGTCCTGGCTCCTTTGCATTCTTTTTATTAGCATTTTTCTATTTTCTTACATTTAACATAGAATGCTCTAACAGCCTACAGTACATGTGGCACCTTCAATAAATTCTCTAACTGGAAATCTCTGTGGCTCAATTATCTAGACCAGTCAATACATTTTCTAGCTTCCATGTTATCACAGGTAATAGTGTTTCTAAACTTTCTGCCAGTATATCACAAGTGTATTCTTTCTTTTGGTTTCCAGTAACACTTTTATTTCTTTAGTTCCACCCTTAGAATCTTCTTAAAGCCCATCGAAATTTCATTGACAGACTTGTTGAGATTAGGTTTTCACCAACACTCTCCTCAATGTCTTTCTAGTCTCTATTAATCTTCAAATCCCAAAGTTACTTCCTGTGGTTTTTAGGTAGTTTTGCTATGACAGCACCTTATTTCCAGGCATAAAATATGTTTCATTTATTTAATGCTATGTAACCAATTACCTTGAAATTTAGGATATATAAAACCCGTTTATTATGTTCATGGAGTCTCTGAATCATGAATGTAAACAGGGAATAGAGGATGGCTTGTCTCTTCATGATGTGTGGGGCCCCAGCTAGAAGATTCATTCTGAGGAATGGAATCATCTGAAGGCTTGTTGACTCTCACAGATGCTGGTAGATAAAGGTTGTTGACTGGAAATTAAATTACACTGGACATGAGCTTCTCTGTGTGATCCTTTTGTGTAGGTGAATGTGGGCCTTTGCACAGCATAAGGGTTGTCTTCTCAGTAAGCAACCCAAAGAGAAGGAGGCAGGCGGAAGATGTATTCCTTTTGAAACCCAGTCCCAGAAGTCATACAGCATTATTTCATTCTACTCTACTGGCTGGAAAAGTCACAAACCTTTCCAGGTTCCAGGGGAGAGGAAATAGGTGACAACTCTTGATAGGGAGTTGCAGGGTTCTGGAGGGATGTGTGGAATTGAAAACATGCTGCAACCATCTTTGGAGATTACAGTCTGCAACACTGCCTTTTACTAATGTCATTCAAACATTTTTAAGCATTAAACTGATATGTGCATATGGCAGAAATAAAAAGACCAAAAGATATTATGTAACATGAAAATAAAAGGCCCTCAGTTTTTTCCTAATCACAAGTATGCACTCTTAACTATTAGTGATTAACCATTACTAACTTTATTGTGTAGTCTGTCAAAAATGCTCTATGCATATACCAACGTATACTTATTTCTATTATATTCTATTGAGTCTCTAAGTTCTAAAACCCTTTCTTATTTATCCATATTGCTAGGGTTATAAATCACAGGCTACTCTTGGAGTTTTTCCCTTGAAAGTTTTTATGAGTCTTTTTCTTCAAATCTGCTATGTGTATGGGTTGACTAAGTTAAAATATATCTGTATCTCCAACCACACACTGATGGCAGGAAGTAGAGAAGAGGTTGACTGTTTCCTGGGATGGCAGAGTGGCCATTTAGGAAGAGTATATTGTCTCTTGATAAACATGAGTGAGTTTTGTTTTGTTCTCTCATGTTTAATGTTTTTAAGAGTTTGGTAGGGCAGATAAAAACCTCACATGAGGATTTTTACTTAAGTATGATCATCTCAGGACACTTCAAGACTTAATGATTAGGGGATGGAGGGGAAATGTGTTTCAGGTTTCTGATAGATGCTATGTAGTAGAAAGAACTCTTAAGATTTTAGAGACTTTGTTTGGTCTTGGATCTTCCTTTTGAGAAGCTTTGTGACCTTGAACAAGTCTCCTTTCCTTTAAGCACTTAATTCTTTTGTGATAGAAAGAGGTTGGACTTAAACTCTTCTACTAAAAGCATGGTCCATAAAACAGCAGCATCCACATCACGTGGAAGCTTGTTGAAATCTAGAATTTCTCTGCAGAACTACTACATCTGATTCTACATTTTAAAGTCTTCAGGCGGTTCACATTAAAGTTGGAAAAGCACTGAACTAAAGAATCTGTAAGGTCCCTTTCTATTCTAATTTTGTAGGACTGAAAGAACTTAAAGGAGAAGGATAAGAAGGAAACACAGCAACAGTGATATTGGTAATTCATTCCTTTCGAAAAAGTCAAAGATTTTCTTTCTTTCTAATTGAAAACTAGGGTGGCAAAAATGCTGAATGATACAAGGTTGCCTGTTGTATTTCATGATCTTGTAGCCCTGTTGTAGTTTCTAGCCAGAGGCTTTTCTGCTTCACTTGCTGTTCTCATTAGTTAGCTTCTCAAGGTAGCTTTTAAGAATTCTGTTAGAAACAAGCTAGGGAAAGTAAAGTGACCTACCAACGATCATGCTTTAAGGTAGTGCGGAAAATACTAGTCATAATAGATGACAACAGTATTCCAGAAAAAGCCTCAAAAGATGTAAAAGATTTAGTTAAATAAAGCCTAGAACTGTAAGTGGTGTTTCAGGTGATTTAACACGTGGTAGAATAAATAAAAGAAAGGGAGATACTTTATTCCTCTTATAAAAACATTTTCTCCTTCCTCATTGCAGCCCAGTATGTGGACATACTAGGAGCCTATTATGGTGAATTTATTCATTCTTTGATCTTTTCAATAAATATTTATTGGGTACCTGTTAGGTGTCAGACCTTGTACTGTAAAAAAAAAAAAAAAAAAAAAAAAAAAAAAAAAAAAAAAAAAAAAAAAAAAAAAAAAAAAAAAAAAACAAAACCAAAAAACAGAAACTTTATTCTTTTATTTTTATTAGTTAAGATATGATTCACATACTACTATATGATTCACATATGTAAAATATGTGAGCTTAATCATTTTCATTGTATTTGTCAACATGAGTAATCATCACCAGAGTCAATTTTAGGATACTTTCATCACCTGAAAAAGAAGTTCTATTCCATTTAGCCATCACTCTCCTGTCTCCCTTTGCCCCAGCCCTGAGAAATTACTGACTACTTTCCGTCTACAGAGATTTCTCTATTCTGGACATCATATATAAATGGAATCATGTGATATGTGGTCTTTTGTGACTGGCTTCTTTTCACTTGGCATAATATATTCAAGGCTCATTCATGTTGCATGTATCATACTTCATTCCTTTCATAGACAAATAGTTTCTTTTAAATAGATGCACTGCATTTTTCTTATCCATTTATCAGTTCATGAACATTTGGGCTCTTTTCACCTTTGGTTATTATAAATAATGCTCTGATAAATATTCACATGCAAGTTTTTGTGTGGACATATATTTTCATTTCTCTTTGGTGTGTACCTAGGAGTGAAACTGCTAGGTCATACAATAATTCCATGTTTTATCACTAAACAAACAACTATCAGACTGTTTTCCAAAGCAGCAGCATGAAACTTCACTCCTAGCAAACTTAAAGAAATGGAGTTGAATTGGAGGTGGTAGTATGTGAGATATTTGACAACATGTAATCTGTCTCTCATCACCCCATCCATTTCATTTTTCCCACCTCCATCTGTATATATTTCTTAAAATATCCTTATATTTCCCTGCTGAAGGACCTACCATGGAAACTCACTGACTGGTAGCTTCATGCCCTCAAGGATGCCCTCAAGGATGTGATACTCAAGGTTCTCTATATTATGATGTAAGTAGAGCAGTTTAAACATTGTTAGCCTTATGTTCTTGAATATATAATTCATTTATTTCCACCTGAATTTCCTTTTCTCTTAAATAGATTGCCATAAAATATTGAAGTGCAGAATCTTTAATAGAGTTTCTGACATATTACAGGTAACCCATGGTAATGATTGATATCAATAAAAATAAATGTTGTATTTCTATCTAGCTGCAAACATTTGGAAGATAAAATGTAAATATACCATTTACAATAGCATAAACAGACCATATATATTTAACAAATTTTAATTATGGATACATAATAGTTATGCATATTTTTGGGTTACATGTGATATTTTGATACAAGCATACAATGTATAATGATTAAATTAGGGTAGCCATAACCTCAAGCATTTATCATTTCTTTGTGTTAGGAACATTTCAATTCCACCCTTTCAGTTATTTTGAAATATACCATAAATTGCTGTTAACTATAGTTGCCCTATTGTACCACTGAATACTAGATCTTATTCCTTCTAACTGTATTTTTAGTACCCATTAACCATTCTATCTTTATGCCCCCCCCCACACTGCCCAAAGAGATATAGAAACTCTCTACTAAACATTCTAACATATTCCTCAGAGATTTAAAGAAGACCTAAGTTTCTGAAGATAACATGTTAATGAAGTGGCAGATTTGATATTGTTGGTTTAGACCTAATTATGCACTAAATGAAATTTGCACTTTTTGTTGAAATAGACTTTATTCTACAATTTATATGAAAATACAAGAAATATAGAATTTCCAAAGCCATCTTGAAAAAGAACAAATTCAATTGAGTTATATTACTTGTTATGAAGACCTGCAGCAAGCCATAATAATCAAGAGGCAGTATTGTTTCAGCATAAGGATATACAAGCTGGCCAATGGGACAAAGCAGAGCTCAGAAATAAATCCATACATGTATAGTGAGTTAATTTCAACGAAAGCTCAAAGGCACTTCAATGGAAAGTCTTTGAACAAACAGTGCTGGGATAAATGGATATACATGGAAATATAATGAATATTAGCCACAATTCACAATATTCACAAAATTAATGTAGATAAATTATAAACCCAATTATAAAAGCTAAAGTTGTAAAGATTTTGTGAAGAAAAAAACACAGAAGGCTATTATGATCTTAGGTTAGGCAAAATTTTATAGAGATGAAATAATAAACACTGCAAAAAACCAATAAATTGGATTTCACCAAAATAAAACAAATTCTCTGCTTATCAAAAGAAAATTAAAAGTTTAGCTACAATGTGGGAAAAATATTTGCATGTATATTCTATTATTAACTTGACCCAGAATAAGAACAAATGATTCATAAAAAGATACTGTTTTTATTTTATTATTATTATTTTTTACAACTGAAAGTAAGTTTTGGACATTTCAAAAAAAATGGTGAATTGCACATGAAAACTTGCCTCATATCATTAGTCATCAGAGAAATGTAAACTAAAATAAAAATAAAATATTGCACCACTTTGTTGCAGCAACAACAAATGTTGGTGAGGATGTGGAGTAAGTGGACCTCCCAGATTTTATTCAGGGGAATTAGGTAATAGAACAGCCAGTTTGGAAAATGCCTTGATAATTTTCATGAAGTTAACCATATACCTCTGCCATGACTCAGAAATTCCATCCCTAAGTATTTACCTACGAGAAATGAAAATGTTCCTACAAGACTGGAGCATGTTTATAGCAGCTTTACTGATAGCCAAAGGCTTTGCTAACAATATCCAATGTCAAGAGTACAATGGGTACATAAATTGTGGTATATTCATATAATGGAATACTCCTCAGCTACATCAAAGTAACAAATTACTAATAACATGGAACCATATGAATGGATTTTTTTAAAAAAATGATACTGCACAAACTAGCAAGAAACGAATGAGAAAGCACTATATGATGTCCTAAGATGTGAAGGTCTAGTGCATGGTGATAGAAATCAGAACCATTGTTGTTGCCTGTGGTGAGTGAATTGACTAGAAGGGGACATGAGGTAATTTTCTAGGTGATAAAAACATTCTTCATTTTGATAGTAGTGTTGTTTACATAGATGTATATAGTTGCTAAACTCATTGTACACTGAAGATCTATGCATTTAACTTTTTGTAAATTTTGCTTGAAATAAAAAAATCTAAATTCATCCTGGGAAATTTATTAGCTTGTATACTTGACAGTTGATTTACTTGCCTGCATATTGGGGTCTTTATTTCTTTAATGGATTATTACTGGATTTAAAGAGAAATATAAAGTGTTTAGTTATTTCTGGCACATTATAGGTATAGAAGGTATAGCATACTTCCAACTTGCCAAATATTTGCTGTAATCAAATAAGAATCTTGATGACTTTTGCACATTTTCATTTCATTACTTCCTCTTTGCATTTGTTTCTGGACATCTTGTAGCTTGAACCTATGAAGCTAATCATTAAAAATTAAGAGTTGCTTATGCCATCGCATGCTACTACAATCTTAAATTCTTTTATTTCTTTCAGCTTTTGTTCTTCATATTGCTTCTTATGCCTAGCTGTATGTTAGAATCAGCTGGTAACATTTTAAAAGTACACTGTTGTGTTCTCATGGCAGAGATATTCATCTAATTGATCTGGTGTGAGGAGCAGCCATTAGTATTTTTAAAAAGCTGTGCAGGCATTTCAATCTGGAGTCAGAGTTAAAAACCACTGGACCAGGTGATGTTTAATGATCTTTTCAGCTCAAATGGCAAATCTACAAGCTAAAAATATTCAACGGAAGTGTTTGGTTAAGCTACATTTTAAAACTGTTGTTGTATTGATGTTGTTGAATTACAAAGTGCTTAAGCAGAGCACAGAGGTTCCAACTAAACGCCAACACTATCCTTTCTATTGCTTCATATCCATCCCTTGTACTTATTTACTTTATTTTGAAGGCATTAAATTATCCTGTTTGTGATTTTTGGTTCTAAATACGTTCAATTCAGCAGCACCTATAAGGAAAGAGATCCCCCCTACCCCTTTTTAACCATTGTGATTTATTGTCATATTCTGTGAATGAAAGTTCGGATCTTAGTCATCTGGAAAGACATACAGGACTGTGGAACTAAATTTTGAATACAATCTCTCATCCTGCTTTGTTCAGTTGCAGTAAGTTGGCTACAAAATTGCCCTACACAGCTATTGTATCTACTGCTGTATCAGCAAAGTATAAGGAATCTGATATAAAACCTTCTGAAAATGCAGACAGTTTTCTTTTTTAAAGTCTGGGAGTTAAGAAACAGATGAAAGAACAGCTTCACTCTTTGCTTTCCATATATAATAAGATATTCAACTGGAGTCAGGGTGGTGAGGTCACTAACTGCATTACAAATAGCCGGATCAGGTAGGCTAAATCTTATGAGAATAATAACTTAGTAGAATACATATAGATGGAAAAGAAGGGGATACAGGGATTGGTCCTGAAACCTCTTTCAGTTCAAAGGAGCTGGACTAATGCATTGTTTCCATGATAAATGATTTGCTATTGTCCAATCTTCCAAATGGCTGGCAGTATAATCTATAGCCCAAAAGTCTGTATGTATTGGAAATTTTTTGTTCCTTTGTAGGGAAAAATTTAAAAAGTAAATCCCATGACAATTGAAGTAGATGATATCTCACCTTAGCCACCTTGATCCATCCAGACATGTGACATACTTCCCTCCTTAATTTTTATCAAAATTTCTATGGCATTTTATACAAAAACCTAACCCAAGTTACTTCTTAAGACTTAGCAAATAAGCACATGGAATCTCCCACAATAGTGCCTAATAAAGAAGAAAAGATAACTTAGACAGTATATAACTGAGTTGGTTAAATGCATGATTTTTGAAAGTTCCTTATGACCACCTAACATTAGGCATGTTGCGGGGAGATTTATATACTTGCCTCTTTTTGAATAGTTCTGATATTAATCACTACTTCACAAGCATTGATTTTCATTTTTGGACAAGTTTTAGAACTTTCTACTATCAGTTGTATACTGTTCTCCAAACCCACACACACAAAAATGTCTTATTCTTCTTCAATGTGACAATTTTAAATGTTAGGTAAAACACAACTGTCTTTAATTTTCTTTTGTTGGAATAAATATTCTCAGGTTCTTCAGTCATCTACCACATGCCATTTTTTTTTTTTTGCCCCATCATCGTGCTGGTCACCCTTCAAGTTCTAATTCCCCAAAAGACCTCCTGAAGTTCTTTTTTGGAATTTAGGACTGTCTTTCAGTGTGTGATTTGACAGCCAAATGTGTGGAGAGAGATTTCTATCTACTTGTTTCTGGACAAAACTTTTATTACCCCCTTATACCCTGCTTGAAGCAGAGCAAGGAAAAAATAAATAAATGCCTGTTGTATTTAACACAGTCTTAAATTGTATTAGCATCCCCCCACCCCCACTTTGGCAGCCTCATTTTTCCTTTTCAGTTAACTCAATCTCCACAGCTGGTTAATTCTGTCACTTGAGTGTATAATTCAAATGAAGCCAGGCTGAGGGCCAAGCCCTTTCATGGACACAGCCTACAGCCCTTTTCCCTGCCAGTCACCTGCCCACAGACCCTTGGTCATGAGAGAGACTGACAAACACTTTGTTCTTCCCATTCCCTAAATGGCAAATTTTAAGCCAGAGAAAAAATAAGCTGGGTATTAGAGCTTGGGGTAATTGTTCCGGATCTTCTCAGAATGGCTCGGTGACTTTTCATAAGTTCTCTAGCAGGACTGCTAGAAGATGTTGTAAAAATTAAATTGATATAGAGCACTCTTCTTACCGCATCCATTGTTCAGTATGAAGCATCATATTCTTTTTGGAAGGTGCACACATTATTTTGTTAGTGGTCTGATAGAGCAGCTAAATATATTGAGCTTTGTTCAAGTGGTGAAATTTCAACTGTCCTTTTATTTTCTTCTCTATTGAATTCTGAGTATGGAAAATCACTTTCTTTACTGTCACAATTTCTGAACGTTTATTTAAATCCCCACTGTATCATAAGCACATCAAGGAGCTTTATTGTATCCACAGTGGAGGTAAAAGAGAGTATGTCTGGAATATAAAAAATCCTTTAGGATGTCTCTTATTAATAGTATCACCCTACCCTATGGTTAAGGTCCATGGAAAATAACAGCCCAATAAAGGACTACAGATGCCACAGATCCCATAAGAATAAAAGTTTGGGGCCTAGTGACGTGGCTCATGCCTGTAATCCCAGCACTTTGGGAGGCTGAGGTGGGCAGATCACCTGAGGTTGGGAGTTTGAGACCAGCCTTGCCAACATGATCAAACCCGGTCTCTACTAAAAATATAGAAATTAGCTGGGTATGGTGGTCCACACCTGTAATCCTAGCTATTTTGGAGGCTGAGACAGGAGAATCACCTGAGCCCAGGAGGTGGAGTTTGCAGTGAGCCGACATCATGCCCTTGCAGTCCAGCCTGGGCAACAGAGAGAGACTCCATCTCAAAAAACAAAAAGAATAAAAGTTTAGGTCACTCTAGCAAATAAAAAAACAGTGAAGTACTTGCTAAAGACAAAGAAAATATAAAATAATAGAACAAGGTAATTTTTTTTTTTTTGAGACAGAGTCTCACTTTGTAACCTAGGCTGGAGTGCAATGGCACAATCTCGGCTCACTGCAACCTTGCATCCTGGGTTCAAGCAGTTCTCCTGCCTTAGCTCCCAAGTAGCTGGGATTACAGGTGCCTGCTACCACACCTGGCTAATTTTTGTATTTTTAGTACAGACGGGGTTTCACTACGTTGGCCAGGCTGGTCTCAAACTCTTGACCTCAGATGATCTGCCAGCCTCAGCCTCCCAAAGTGCTTGGGATTACAAGCAGAAAAAGGTAATTATTAATACCAACTATGATCATATGACCAGTTACAGAAATGAAGACTATAATTGTTATATTTGCTCATTTTGTTAAAAATGTTTGTGTTTATATATACCTGTATTAAGCAAATATCTTTCTTTCTTATTCCCATGAAATGTAACATAAAATTTATTGACAATGTTAGCACTTAAGTGTTAGTCTTATGTAATAATATTTAAGTATTTGTGCATTTTTGCTTGTATAAAGAATAATTATGTTAGGCAGAATTATGACCTTATAATTAAGTATAATTTAAAAATATATATGGGTGCCAAGTTGACAAATAGTTGACTTTGTGATGGTTAATATGGGGTGTCAACTTGGCTGTATTGAGGGATGCCTAGATGACTAGTGAAGTCCTGTTTCTGGGTGTGGCTGTGAGTGTGTTGCCAGAGGAGGTTGACATTTGAGTCTGCAGACTTAAGAGAGGAAGACCCTCCCTCAACGCGGGTAGGCACCATCCAATCATCTGCCAGCACGGCCAGAACAAAGCAGAGGGAAGAAGGGGCATAAGCAGCTTTCTGAGTCTTCGGGCTCTCTCTCTCTTTCCTTTGTAAAAGGAAAATAAATCTTGGAGTCTCAAAATCACTAAGCCAAAGGGAAAAGTCAAGCTGGGGATTGCTGAGGGCAAACCTGCCTCCCATTCTATTCCTAAAAAAAATAACTACTAAGATGAAAAGCTACATACCTCCCTGACAAGGAATTTCCTTGTGGACAAGGGACAGACAGAACTCAAAGTCATCCATCTGCTCACTGAGATAAATGCATATCTATCTGATCAGAAATGCAAAAGAATGCAACAGTTTGTCTCGTATCTACTCTATGACCTGGACGCCCCCTCCCTGCTTCAAGTTGTCCCACCTTTCTGGACTTAACAATGTGCATCTTACACTTACTGACTGATGTCTTATGTCTCCCTAAAATGTATAAAACCAAGCTGTGCCTGACCATCTTGGGCATATGTCATCAGGACCTCCTGAGGCTGTGTCAGGGGTGCACAGTCCTTAAAAGAAACTTCCTAAATTGACTGAGACCTATCTCAGATATTTGAAGTTCATACCTTGCTGGATGCCTTGCTTCCTCTCCTACTGCCCTTGGACATTAGGATCCAGGCTCTTTGGCCTTAGGATTCCAGAACTTGAACCAGTGGTCCCCTGGGGGACTCTCAGGCTTTCAGCCTTAGACTGAGGGCTGCACTGTCAGCTTTCCTGATTTTGAGGAGTTTTTGTCTTGAACTAAACCATATTACCAGCTTCTCTCTTTCCTCAGTTTGCAGAGGGCCTATTGTGAGACTTGTCTGTAATCATGGGAGTCAATTCTCCCTTTTAAATGTCTACACACACACACACACACACACACACACACACACACACACACCCCTTATTGATTCTGTCCCTCTGGAGATCTCAAGCAGAGTGGAGTTAGAAAAACAAAAACATTTCAGTTGTGAAATTCTAAACTAGAGGATAATGACCTAAAACCTGACGATGCTAAACCACTCAGGGTTATGGTAAGATGTTCTCAAACGTGAGTCCAAAATCCATTACAATGTTGCCAAGGTAATGAAGCTGTCGCTGATTCCTTCACTTCTCGCCTGTGGTATTTGGGCAAGCTCACACATATATTTAGTAGTTGCTCATCCTCTGGAACTCGGGTCAGTGTTGCAAATACTCACTACGCATGTCTTCATTCACCTTCTTACCTGTGGCCCACTTCAGCCATCGAGTATAGCAGTCCTTCTTGTGAAGCCCAAACATAGCCCAAAGTACTTTTCCATAGAGGACCACAGAAAGTCACTACTAGTCTGTGGCTAGCATAAGAATAAAATCTCATTTTAGCATAATATTTAGAGCTAGACCATCTGGGTTCAAAATCCACTTCCTCAAATAAGATTTAATTTCTCAGTGTCTCAGTTTCCTCATATGCAAGATGAAAATAATAATAATACCTACTTCATAGAGTTCTCAGGATTAAATGAGAGAATGCAAAAATCTTAGAACAGTGTCTATACATAATTAGTTCTTACTATATGGTAGTTTGCAAGTCAATCTAATTGCCCCTTTCTTTATGTAGTACTACCTTCAGCTATGTAATTAAAAGCTTCTTTAATATGATAGCTGGATATAAGCCTTAGCAGTGATATACTTCATAGTAAGAGCTGTTCAAGTGTGTGTCTGTATGGCTGTGTCCAGGTTGATACCTATGTGCATTTAGGGAAATAAATCTAGAAGGACTGCAATATATGTTTTTATATCTTGCTCTTTCATTTAGCATTTGAATAGGGTCATTTGGTAAACATGAACACTGAAATATCCTTTCCAAAATGGGAACCAATCTGGATAATGATAATACTTAGCCATTAACCTGAAAGTCTTCCATTTGTAATTCTATTTACAGAATTTCAGAAAAAAACTACCAATAGCTTTAGGAAGCAGGAGTCGGTCATGCTCTTTCTGTTGGCATTTGGTCAGGTCTTTCTGATTCACTATTTCTTGGTGACACAGCCTTTGTCTGTGTGTCTGTCTTTAAAGTATTTGTGGGCTCTTGTCTTAGACAGCTTTGCTGAGATGCCATTGTTACTCTTGTTGATATCAGAAAATATGCAGAGGTGAAAGAGTGTGAGTGTGTTGCATGATTTATGGGCACATATTTATGTGTAGGTGTGGATACACGAGTTGTATATATCGAGTTAAGGAAAATGAGCTTATTGTGTATATATGGGATGTATGGGTGAAGGAAATGTATAGCTATGTATCTCCGTGTATATAAGTTTGCATGTGTGCACCTGTGACAGCATAAAGAACCTCTCTTCAAGTTGATATATATTTTTTTAAACTTGGCCTGTTCAAGGTTATCCTGTGGTTTCTTTTTCCCTTTGCCACCTCCTTTTTCTACTCCTTCTCAATCAGTTTTCTTTTCTCATCTCCACAAGTTCACTCTCTTATATTGTGCTAAGACTCAACAGTTTACACCTTACCATCTTTCTCCTAGAGCTAAAGTACCATGTATTTACCCACCGAGGCTTCACAGAATGACTCCACCTAGTTTCTCAGTGGTTCCATGTAAGATAGCTCATGTTCACCCAAAACATGTATCACTTCTGGCTTTCTTGGGTCAAATATGCCTGAAACCTTGACTTTCAACTCTTCTCTGCTGCTCCTTTGCAGAGCATTTGTTGTCTCCCAGCTCCGGCTAAACAGGGCAGATATAATTATTCCCCTTTTAATGGTAAGGGTTTAGAGGGCTATGAAAGGGTGAGAAATAGACTGTGGGGTTCTTCTATAGAAGGTTGGTAGGGAAGAACTCTGCAGATCAGACATGTGGAAGGGGCTTATCAATAAAATACTCCCAGAATATCCTTTTACATTCTATCCTTTTTCTAACCCCCAATATTGTTGAATTATTAACCAGTACAGGCCTTAGTAGTGATCTGTCATTTGATTGACTATTATTACAGGGCATGAGTGAGATCTGTATCTCTTTTTTAATTTTTAATTTTTTGTGGTACATGATAGGTGTATATATTTATGAGACATTTTGATACAGGCATGCAGTGTGTAATAATTGCATCAGAGTATTTGGGGTATCCACCCCCTTAAGCATTTATCCTTTGTGTTATAAACATTCCAATTATGCTCTTTTAGTTATTTTAAAATATACAATTATTATTAACTATAGTCATTCTGTTGTGCCATTAAATACTAGATCTTATCCATTCTATTTTTTGTACCCATTAACCATCTCCACTTCCTCTCTCTCACTCCCACTACCCTTCCTAGGATCATAACCATCATTCTACTCTCTATCGTCATGAGTTCACTTGTTTTAATTTTTAGTTCACACAAACAAATGAGAACATGTGAAGTTTCTCTTTTTGTGTCTGGCTTATTTCGATCAACACAATGACCTTCAGTTCCACCCATGTCATTATAAATGACAGAATCTCATTCTTTCTTACGGCTGAATAATACTCTGTTGTCTATATGTACCACATTTTCTTTATCCCCTTGTCTGTTGATGAATGCTTAGATTGTTTCCAAATCTTAGCTATTGTGCACAGTGCTGCATAGCATGGGAATGCAGATATCTTTCCAATGTACTAATTTCCTTTCTTTTGAGTATATATACCCAGCAGAGGGATTACTGGACCACAGGGTGGCTGTATTTTTAGTTTTTTGAGGAACCTCCAAACTGTTCTTCATAGTGGTTGTACTAATTTACAATCCTACTAACAGTGTACTAGGTTCTCTCTTTTCCACATCCTTCACCAGCATTTGTTATTGCCTGTCTTTTGGATAAAAGCCATTTTAACTGGGGCACGATGACATCTCACTGTACTTTTGATTCACATTTCTCTGATGACATCAATGGTATTCGGCACCTTTTCATATACCTGTTGGCCATTTGTATGTCTCTTCTTTTGAGAAATGTCTATTCAGTTTTTTTTTTTTTGCACATTTTAAAATCAGATTATTAGATTTTTTTTTTTCTATATAATTGTCCAAGCTCCTTATATATTCTGGTGATTAATCGTTTTTTAGATTAGATATCCTTTCCTTTTGGAGTGGCACTGGTAGTGAATTAAGT